GGCGCGGACCTGCCCGCCCCCGCGCCGCGCCCCGCGCCCGACAAGGGCCCGGACAGCCGCATCCGCCGGCCCATGAACGCCTTCATGGTGTGGGCGAAGGACGAGAGGAAGCGCCTGGCCGTGCAGAACCCCGACCTGCACAACGCCGAGCTCAGCAAGATGCTAGGTGAGAGCTGCCCCCCCCGTCTCCCCTGGGCGGGGCGGGGGCAACTCACTGTGCTTCCAGGGAGAGAGGAGTGGGGCTGGGAGGGAGCTACCGAGGTTGTGCCCGAAGCAGGATGAGCCCTGGCCAAACCATCCCGCGTGCACCCCGCCTCACAGAAATCACAGAGTGGGGCTGGGAGGTCACGTCCTGTCCGAGCCCTGCCCGACAGCATCGCCTCTGCGCACCTGTCATCGCGGAAATCAGAGGGGAGCGGGGCGGGAAGGGGTCCGCAGCGGTTGTGTCCAGTGCGACCCCCCGCCCGAAGCGGGAGCAGCCCTGTCCAAAGCTTCCCCTGCACATCCAGCATCCCGGCAGTTGTTCAAACCACAGGAATCAGGGAAGTGATCTCGCCCCTGTGTCGGGGGAGGCTGGCACCAGCTGTTTTTGCCGAAATGGGAGGGAAACACCACCCGGTTTTCCAGGGTTGGTGCGAGCTCACCGTAAAGGTCTCTCAGAGGAAGGTGGGACGGGACGGGAGGGTCGGGGAGGAGCGGGGCTGGAAGGGAGCCGCGGAGGCTAGGTCCGGTCGAACCCCCTGCCCGAGGCAGGCTCAGCCCTGTCCAGATAGGCCCCTACGCATCCGTCATCACAGAAATCAGAGAGAAATGGGGCTGGAAGGGACCTGCAGAGGTCACATCTAGTTCAGCTGAGGTCCAAACCATCCCCTACACATCCAATTCTTTGCACCATCTCTGCCTTTTTTCTCTCTCTCTCTCTCCCACCATTTCTGCTAAGAAAGGGGAACAGCCAGGACTCAAAAAAGCACTTGGTTGTCGCTGCACAACCCCAGTCCTCTGCACCCCTCCGGCTTTGTTTCAAATCTAGTGTCTCTGTGTGCACGCTACTTATTTCTTCCCCCCCCGCCCCTCAGTCTCCTCGAGACTGGGAAGATGGCAGGCTATTTCGATCTCACCCTGCCGCGTCCAG